AAATGGCGAGCACAAGTAAATTCACTGAAACTGATGCATAGGGATAACCTAGACAACAAACCAAGCGTGGAATGCAGTGGTTGTTGTAAATTGGTGCGGGTTCTTAAAGGGTCATTCTCATTGTAAGTTCCATCTCCAACTCCAGTAGTATCGCGTCAAGCACATCCAAAAGCGTCTTCCTTCAGGCTATCCACAAACTTCATTATTCATTGGACACTGGTTGAGGCTGGCTTTGCAACATTACATAAGATTGCAAGATGAACACCTAGGTTGTGACAATTCTCGGCCAAGTAGTGTTTATTCACGAGTGAATTTGGCGTACATATCCTGAGAATCCTCCCGCCTCGCGATGGACCTAGCTAAAAGGTACGGTCCTAATCTTTCCCTCAACGTGTATGCCTGGTATATAGGTTCTGTGTCACATCTGTCTAAGGATGAGAGTGCTTTCAGCTGGTTCTTTATACACCACGATTTATGACCAAAGCAGGTTGCCTGTAGCTACTCTGAGGTGAACAAGTACATTCGAACTTCCTTGTTGTTGACTATGGTTGGCCAGTTAAATCACAGCGGGATGCCGAGGAAGACCGGGCCGCTTCTACGGAGCGGACGGTCTCGCCCTCAGGTCAAGCTTATTCCGTACTTTATTTCCTACTGTTCACTTAGGTCATCCTTGCACTAAGGCCCGTATGGTTTCCTGTAGCAATTAACCAACTTGGAGCGCCACGCTGGCTTTGGAGTTGCATGCGGATCAACCATCAGTTCAGTTTGTGCAGTCAGAACCTACAACCTTCCTATTCACGAATGTGTCCAATCCAACTTATTTAATGTCTGGTTCTTTTACGAGCTGTTCCGAGGACCCATTGTGAGTGGTTTACCGTTCGTCTGCATTGTGTAACTAGATAGCCCATAACTGACGCCCCCACCATAGCGCCGTTCGATCACAGTAAAACCGAAGGGGTCTGTCGGAGCGGGGCTTGCCAGGGCTATCATAAATTTCTTTTCGTCTGCAACTTTGTGATCGCAATGATCCTAAATAAGTCCGTTATGTCAAGCCCTTCTGGACTGGAATTTCCGCCAGAAGACTGATCGAGAAACCTTGAGTATACAGAGGATATAGCTCTCCTTAGGTCTGACGCAATGCCCATGCAAACACTGCTGGATAGACTGGTGTGTGGCGATGCACCTTTCGGTGTGTGCTTTGCACCTTCAGAGTGCTAAGTACCGTTGCAGGATTGGTACGAAAAGCTACCGCATCTTACTCTTAGCAAACAGCCACTGGAAGTGGCAAATCAATTCAATCACCTTAGCGGTTGTGTCATCTCTGGTGGCCACATCACAGAGGGAACTTCGAGTATCAGTGATTGTGTCCCTTCAGAGGCTCAATCATCTACGACCAGTCGAGAAGGTGGAATAAATGGAAGAAGGAATTGATTGAATGACTTGGTAAGGGTGATGCATGCTGTCCTCGTGGACGAGAGCACCGGGACGGTCTACACGGTGACTGGGAATCCTATCAATGGAACAAAAGAGCAATACGAGGCTTTAAAAATGCAAATGCTTAACAAGTCTTTTTGGATGGCCAGCATGAGAACCGCAAATTTGTGAAGAGAAAACATGGCGATAAAATAAAAAACGTTTGCTTTGGTGGCGTTTACCTTGAGGCATGCGACAAAGAGCCTGTCTCAATTGTGTAGCTAATGCTGTTCGGTACGAGTTTTCACCTCATATCGTATTTCGATGTGCACAGATTAGATTTCATAATGTAGGCGGGTAACGGTAAGGTCAAGGTGTTTTTAACCACACGTAAAATGAAGGCAGGAGCAACGTAATCAGCGAGCGGGGTTCCAAAGGTGAGACACAGGAGGTGATTGAAAGTCTCGACGGCATTCTAGCCGGGTGCATTGCATGGCCAACTTGAACTGGTGGCACCTCAGGTTCGTGTTGCGGCTAAGTCGAAATAGATGGGGACAGACGTGGTTAGGGCGATTAACTGGTCGCCCCGAGTGCGCCGATACTGACCGCTGTATAACCTTGTGGTTCCTAACCTAAGTTGTTATGGAAGGTGGAAAAATCGTTTGACGTGCTTGATGGCTCATTGCTGTGGAGTCTCGAGCACTGCAAGATCTTTCTAATACCAAGGCTTCTTGGCTTAAATTGCCTATTCCCCATGTGAACGCAAGTATGCGTTAAGTATCTGAGGACAAACAGATGAATGAAGCCGCTCAAATGCCCTCCGCAGCATTCCAGTGTGTTGAATCCCAGTCGTTGACGCTTTCCCAGATGGTGCTGAGCAACTCAACTCAGTCTGAAGTAGTAACCCAAGGTCGAGCTCCTGGGTGACTGCTTGCAGGACGTGGTCTCCAAGCTTGTAAACCATGTTCGGCTGATGACGAATGTGGACCACCTTACATTTGGACGAATTAAACTGGAGCAGTTTGTGGAATCACCATTCAGATGCATTGTCCGAGTCTCGTTGAAGTGCGTTGTGATCTATATGATCGGCGATCACCGGCCACATCCTAACATCATCAGCAAAAAGCGAGAAATCCGAGATGATTTAGACGCGTAAGCTAGTTAGTAAACAAGAAAAACGGACGTGACTCCAGAACTGATCCTTGTGAAACTCAAGCTCCGAGTTGAGTCGAATCGGACAACACAATTCGAACTCTAAACTGCTGTTGCCCCTGCTGTAGGAAATTCCTTGTCTATCTAAGGACTGGATCCTCAACTCCGTAGCTTTCCATCCCGTGAAGCCGAATGCGGTGGTCTAGGCGATCGAAGGCTTTGGAGAAGTCTAGGTGAATGATATCGGTCCCTGTTCCTTCGTCGGTCGCTTCGGTCCAACTACCGCGTGCAATTAGGTTGATTGTGCACGATCGGTGCTAACGGAAACCGTGTTGCGCAGGTGATAGGATGTTGCAGCGTTCTATACCTTTTGTCTGCCAGTTGCACCCATAACGCTTTCAAATAACACCTTAAGGAAATCATGTTCTGCCATAGATCTTTCAAGATGGTTCTTAACGTTATCAAGTCGCATCCAACGGGCGCAAACGGCCCTAAATTCCACTGTTCATTGAGGAACTAATCTCAGATCAGGTAATATCATCCCGCTCTGTGCACTCATAAGTTATACTGGTGGCTGATTTGGGATTCCTTACTCAAGGAACAGTACGCACATTTTAGAACTTCGTCTTCTATCAGCACCACATTGATTCGGTCGACCAACATAGTGACTAGATGTTGTGCCAGTAGGAAATATACACAGAATGTCTGAGTTACGCGGAAGCGATTGATGCAACACGCCTGCAGATATTCGGATGGCTTCTAAATGCTATGCGTACATAGCTGCTATCGGTGGAAGTCGTGACACGATGGGGGTCATCCCTGTTCTCTGCAGCGTTCGTAACTTGCACCGCAGTGGAGGGTGAGCAGCGGTATATCGCAGTTAGCTTGTAAGTCATGATTGTCCGGTGCTGTCCTTTGTGGTGCAGCGGAATAAGCTGCTGGTTGATGACCGCCGGCTCGACTCCTAGTGGAACCGTGGAATACGTATGACAGACCAGTCCCAATAGGTCAAAAAGGCAATCTGGTGCTTTTGGATCGGGTGGCATACCGCCTGGTTTGGAAGTTACTGCGACGAACTCCACATACAAATTAAAGCGATCTGGGTAGCACTTAACAGCGAGTTCACTGTGTCCATGGCGGATATAAAAATGCGTGTTTGGATGGCTAGTCGCCGTCTTGCAGGGAAGCGTACCATTTATAAAAGCTTCAGTCTCAAATGAGTGGTTCCGTCGTATGCATCCCGTTAGCACAGGAACGAGTAGTGCCATCCAGCAGCATTGCAGAGCACTGTGTTCAAACCACTCAAGACCTGTCGAAACAGCTCGTTAGAGTGGCTTAAAGAAGTTTCTTTGAGACGGCGAAGGGTATACTGATGGTGGACATCAAAGGGCCTAATCTGCATACTCGTAATGGCTTATCCGAAAATAGATTATCATAGTAGTCACATCATCACGAGGATCGTCACAAGTGCAATACATGCGATCCGACTGTGGGGGAATAATTGTAGCACAAACAGAAGAAAGGCAGATAAAAATTTGGATCCCCAACGAGTAAGGAAGAACTGATGTCCTTGTGCCGTGAAGCGTTTTTTTTGTCCAGTGAACACAGACCGTTGTGGGGAACGCATGTCTCCACAAAATCGCCCAAAACATGTGGGGCTCATATAACCGCATCGATGCCAGTGCAATAATTTGACCAATCCCCGCATACACAAGAATTCACTTTTTTCTGACCATCCTCGGAAATGAGTTAATATTTTGCCGACCAGTTTCCGCTATTTCATTCACATTTCTGAAATGCCGCACTTACACTGAGCAAATTCACTGGCTTACGTCACGCTTTCCTGATCAAGCTTACACAGACTACTCCATGTGAAACATCACATATGCCAGCAATCTTGGTGTAAAAATGAGGCTGGTAAACGCCTCTTGCTGCGCCAGTAAAAATGCCTGCTGCGGATAGCTTGATTTCCTTCGCTCTCTCTATCGGGGTCTGTGGATGCGTGTGGTCCGTCTTCGTTTTAGTCGCTCGCGTGTAGAAAAGATTTGGCAACTAAATCTTACGGATCGTACGAATCGAATTCCGTCGCTTAATTTTCGGTGCGTGTATGCAATCAGCAAATTGTTCGGTATTTTTTCGACTAGGAGAGTCGTTACAACACATAAACATTAATAATACGTCGTAGCGGGGGCAAGCGTCGGTCAACGAGGTTCACGGAACCGAAAGTGTGAACGGACAGGTACGTATTGAGTTACTAGTTGCTAATCACGAAGCAAGATGAAAAGAATGGGAAGCCAGACTACCGAAAGTAATTCTAAAACGGTAGAACCTGTGGTTAGTGTGCCAGTTAGTGAGTGAAAACAATGCCGCCGGTGTCGACACATAAACACAACAAGTCCACATCGACTTGAAGGAAAAATGTTCGGTCATACGAACTCGGAAAGAATACCAGATGTTAGAAAGGCCTGCAAGTACAAATCGAAAAACCAAAAACATGAGAGCAAACATTTTCATTTGACAGTTTGCGTACGCATGGATAATGATACGGTCATAAAAATACAAACAATGTACAATCGATATGGCAACGGCGGATCGTGCGTTCAAATGCCGATGGACTTTAGTGGCGTTCTGTGCGAAAGAGCACATGTTGAAGGTTCAGGCTGGAGCGCTGCTCATTGAGGCGGCTGCTGCAGCGGCCTGAGTCGCAGCCACCGCCACGGCCCTTTGGGCACCCCAGTGGATGTAGTCCGAGCGTGTCGCTGCAGTGTGCTCTTCAATCAGATTGTGTACGACCTGTCGGCTGTCTGCAAACTCTTTCAGATCGGGATCATCACGGAAGATGTCCTCTTTGCGGAATTGTTCCAAGAAGGCGCCACGGGTTCTTAGTTTATCGTATTGAGAGAGACAACGCAGAAAGAGCTACAGGTGAGTAAGAAGATGGGAAAATCGAGAAGGAACGTGACGTGCACGACGCAAACAGGAAACTGCGGTTGGCTGAAGTAACGAATGCGTGCAGAATACTGCAAACAAGCGAAAACACGGGCAAAGTTTGAATGCAATTGAAAGTGATGGAGAGTCACCTGCTGCCCTAGCCAGAAAAGCAGTGAAAATGATATTTCAAAAGTGCGAGGTAGCTAAACGGACCAACAAAGGCTGGAGACTGTCATAGGCATACGTGAGAGACACGTCCAGGCACCGTTCGAAGTTGGGCTATAGTGAAAGCTGCCTAATTAAATAATGAATAAATAATAAACAAATTTGCCTATTTACTGGCAGGCGGTGTACAGCACTTAAGGGGGAGAAATCATTTGCACACAGAAGTGGTGTTATAGTTTGCATACCAAAAAATAATAAAAAATAGTTGTGGATCATTAATTTTCTCACATATCATCAACCCGATCGCGCACAATGCATTCAATCAATACGAATGTTTGTATCACTGTTTCCAAATTTGATTCATAGTAAAAGTTGGGAGCAGTCAAAAGTAGAGTAAGGGAGAGTAGGTTGCACAGGCACTTGGTTAATTTTATGGGTAATGAACAGAGAAAGAATAAGTCGATTGTAGATTTCTAGCTGTTCATATGTTGTGTAGGCTTTATCTCGCTAATGTTTCTGGAAATTGTTGTGCGACAAATGTCTATAACACATTCGGGATAGTGACGACAGTCAGTGCAGAATTTCGGAAAGTGACTTGGTTAGCACTCGTGCGTACTTGTGGTGGAAGTCGGTTCCACAGTGTAGCATATCTCACTAAAAAGAAAGTCGATCGAATTTTCGACTCGCAGGCTGTGAGGTCATCAAGGTTGGCATAGATGGCGCTCTTCCGCAGTTCAAGAGCGGTACTGTGTACGAGCACTAGCTTACTAATAATGGTGAGGAGAAGATTTTTCTTCAACAGTCTCAGCCAAAGGAAAACAAGTCGGAGGTGATGACAACAATTAGGGTAAATCAGGGTTGAGCAGCGCCCCATGACCAGCTTGGTAAATGTTTGTTGGACATGTTCCGGAGTTATTTCTGCCTTTTCTTCTCAGTTGGCCACGAATAACAGTACTATAGTTCAGAGTAAGTTTCGCATTAATTTTCAATAACTTAAGTCGTGTTTCAGGCAGGGGGAAAGTTCCAGTGATGTAGCCGAATAGCTGTCTGACATTTCGACTTGGTAGAGGACATATTCAGAAAAACTGAGGGAATTAGGATAACGAAGTCCCAAGCACCGGACTGACTCAGAGGTCGGAAGCACGTTACCGGCAAGAGTGATACAGCTTTCCGGGATTCGGCCTATGTACCCGAATAGCTGGACTATTCTTGCTGAGAATTTCATGAATGGGCGTTCAGTAGATATACGCAGTGCAAATAAGTCCTCACGTATGCTATCCAGGCATATTTGTAATCGGTCTGGTGGAAATGGGTAGACCAGTTTGTAGCCACCACATGTTCGATAAACCACAGGGGACTACGTAACTAGCCTACCACTGATTGGGAAAGATATAGAAGACTAAATTCCGATGAGAAATTGCCGGCGGACCGTCGTAAAAGACAGAGTAGGCAAACAATAGTCAAGAAATCAGTCGCAGTAGATCAGTAGGATCACGTACTGTTGATATGCTGGTGTGGTTAGCGAGCATGAGACCACTGACGCGATTTCTTGTCTGTACATAGGGAGACCGTCGGGATAAGGCCACTTGGATGCTTGCAGGTCCCCAAGGGATGAATTGAGCCAAACGCCGCTCGCGGATGCGCTGCAGGGATTTGTGCACCTCGGATGGGTCGACCTCACCTGAAACGTTGAAGAAGATATAACTGTAGGTGGGGGTGTGCGAAGATATGTAGAAGATAGTGGAACGCGGTGAGTAAACAAATGCGGAGATGCACAGTAGATGCATCTACCAAGAGACGCGTCTCAACTCTGGACGTCATACTAAAGTCGGCTTCTGACTTGTCGCTTCAAACGACCAGCCGAAGTGATCTGATGGCCATCCATGTTTTTAAGCAAATAACCTGGCCACATATACCGCAGCGAGTAGTCGGTTAGCAAGCAAAATAACAAATTCAAGGAGACGAAGCACTAAGGCTTTGTGCTTAGCTGTTGGTCTGAACTAAAATATTATCAGTGAACATACCTGCGGGCATTGATTTGCCAACAACTCAGCATGACATGATAAGAAAAACACTTCGGTATTTCCATGAGAGCAAGAATTTCACGACCACAACCAGCAACAGCTGCGCAATGATTTGTCAACCAGAGTGCTCATCAAAAACGACCTACGATATATCGATAGCAAAAGGACTGCAGTGAATCGGGCAGTACGTGGAGGTTTGGCAGGACAATTCTCATAGCCTGTAGCTAGTAGAAGAACACGCTGATCACAACAGCTCGAACGCTAGTCTGATGAAAAATACCAGAGCTAACAACACTTTCCTGATAGTGAAGCAGTTAACTTCCGTTCTACTAAGGCTTCTGCTGCTGTAGGACATAACTCTTTCGTCACTGTGATAAAATAACTCTGATATAACAGGGCTATCGACCTCGTTGTACGGAAAAAAACTCGCCGGCTGATTGGGATAAATTAGGGAAAACCAGCACAGGGCGAGATCTAGTGTTTCCTGAACCAGTCAGAAGCCGTATCATTTTGGGTGAGAACCAGTGAGCGAGCAGCAGTGACCCCAGGCCAACCTCTTACTTACTCGTGTCGATAGCCTCGTTTGCGTCGCAGATACAATGAGAACTGCTTCGTGGCAGTAGTTTATCGCCCCCACACTGTCCAATCTAGAGATGGATTTCCGCCTAGTAGTCGTATTGACAAAAAGCTTACTCCCAACTTACAGTCACGTTCTTATATACGGCGATTTCAACGTACAGGACCCGGACGCCTCGGAATCCCCAGTGAACCATTCTAAGCCGAATTACAAGAACTTATCGCAACTATTCCACGTACAACCACATCACCTAACTCACCAGATACAGTTAGTGGCATCCGGTTTTGGATAGGTCTGTCACTGCGACTTCCATAAGGACAGCCACAGGAGAAGATAACAAAATATCCGTACTGGACCTGATGCTAATGAGGAACCCATAATCGACAGATAAGTAATAGATACCCCACTAGAGCTACGCGGCCATAATACCTTAATTTACAACTATGCGTATTATACTGAATACTCGGAAGAACACGTTGAATCAACGCGCACCATGACACACTACAACATCCGGACAGATGTGGTTGCGATGACCGATTGGAACTTCTTGAAAGGTGGTTCCCCTGACAACGCATGGATTCAGTTTGTTGAATGGTTCTGCGATCTGATTGTAACTGCTTCAGAAGCAAAGTGAGTACGTTCCACCAAGTCATCCTCGTGTATCAGAAGCAGAATACGAAAACGCATGTCACTAAGGAATGCCGCTTGGCGCGCTTACATAGCTTGTTCTGGCCCCGAAGCATGGAGCGACTACGTGGCCAAGTGCAACCACTGTAATACGCTTGTCCGCGAGGACAAAGTGACTCACCAACAATGCCTTGGTTGTAAATTTTCCCAAAAGAAAAAGCTACCATATAAACATGTCAACAGCATTCGCAAAGGGAAGCACGATATCCCCCACTTTACAGTTGGAATCGTACAGAGCGCTGAAGAAGCAGCAAACGCGCTACAGATGCAGTATGGCCCGATATTCCAGACTTGACGTCTGACAGTGTTAGATATCCACATCCGTCACCGCGATTTCAGTACTTACTCACATCACGTTTAGTACCACAACTGCTCTCCCTGTGAACATATAGATCTCATGGAATCGACGACATTCACCCGAGGGCGCTGAACGTAATAGAGACAACGCTGGCCGAGCAATCATCGTATTTCTTCCAACCATGTTTGAATAAACAAATGATGAATATAATGTAGATACATCGACTATTCATGCCAATTTTTAAAAGTGGCAGTCTCTCGGAACCTGCAAACAATCGCCTAGTGAGCCTTTTCTTGCACTCTCATCGCTGAGGTTTCAGTCGACCGTCCAAAATGCGGTAACATCACAACACCGGCACAGCAGGGTTTCAGTCGGCATCAATAATACACAACCAACCTACTGATGGCACGCGGTAATTGGAAGAAAGTGGCCGACAAAGGGACTAGGACCGAGGTCATTCACCTAGACTTCTCCAAAGCCTTCGACCGCCTGGACCACCGCATTCGGCTCCACGGGATGGAAAGCTATGGAGTTGAGAATCCAGTCCTTGGATAGACAAGGAATTTCCTGCAGCAGGGGTAACTACAGTTTAGAGTTCGAATTGTGGTGTCCGATTCGATCCAAGTCGAAGCTAGAGTTTGTTATGGGGACCCAACGTCTCCACAAGATCGCAAGCTGAAACCACGGAAGACAATTAGACACGCATTCAGACCAGTGCACATGTTCGATCAGCTTTCCAACTCGTGTTCCATCCATATGACAATCGCCGTTATGTAATTAAGCTGGACTGCACCGTATAGACCTTGACCTGGACAGTAAAAGTGTCTGGGGCTAAAGGCCTGTCTTTGTTCTTACTCATTTTTGGGTCGGGTAGTTGAACGTGTAGTCTGCGTTCGATTAGGAACCCGTCAACGTGTGTGTAGAATCGTATTGACTCTAAGTCATCGGATGTGCGAATTCGAATTCTATCGGATATCTTATCCGTGCGAGGTACTATTCTGACTCAAGTCCGTTCATTGAACTAGAAGCCGTACCAGTTGTTATCTACGCGGCGCGTCTAAGAAGCAGTCACAACAAAGTGGCGACGGAGTGTTCGAACCATGAAGATTGCGTACAAGGATTTTAAGTCGCTATTTCAACAACAGCTCAGTTTGATGTCTGCGCTAACCGAGAAACTCTCCAGTTCTTCAATTCAGTCAGGTTCCGCTGGCAATTCCCAAGCATTCGGCATTATTGCTGGCAGTATCTCAGAGTTCCTCTACAATCCCGGCACTCGCGTCACCATCGATTCATGGCACGAGGATTTATTCACCCTTGACCTGACTTGCCAGAATGACGCGGGGAAGGTCCGGATGATTCTGCGCAAACTGGGCACGGTCGAGAACCAACGGTATACCAATGGCATCCTACCGAAGAACCATTCTGTCTTAAGTCCGTTCATTGAACTAGAAGTCGTACCAGTAGTTATCTAGACGGCGCACCTAAGAAACAGTTATAACAGAGTTTCACACGGGTCAGTTCTGGAGTCGCGTCCGTTTCTCGTGTTCATTACCGAGCTGACGAGCCTAGTCGCCTTGGATTTCTCGCTTTTCACTAATGATGTTAAAAGGTGGCGGGTGATCGCCGATCATATAGATCATAATGCACTTCAACAAAACCCGGACAGTGCATCTGAATGGTCATTCCACAAACTGCTCCAGTTTAATTCGTCCAAATGTAAGGTGGTCCACATTCGTCATCAACTCAAGTTCGCCGCAGATTTTTGGTGAATAGTCTTCACTGTTCAACACCCGGTTCCAATATCTCCAGCTGGTCAAACGGGATGCCGACGACTTCATTACGTACGCGGGTACTGTCGATTGGGAATGCGAACGGTTCCAGCTTGACTCCTTCACTGAAGACCAGTACAAGTGACTGGTTTTCATTTCTGGTATCCAATCCGCCCATGACGCCGACATCCGAACGCGCCTACTATCGGAGATGTAGCAGAACAGCACGATCACACTCAAGGACTTGGCCGAGGAGTGTCAAATGCTGATCAATCTGAAACATGACTTCGTGATGATCCAGAATTCTTCCACATCTAGTCTGGTCTAGGCAGTCGCAGCAGCAATGCCGCAGTCTTTTAGGCGACCTACTTAACGCGACAGAGCGAAGTCCCCACCCTGTTCGTGCCGATACGGTGGTGTATAGCATTTCCACCGAGACTGCGACTTCCGCCAGCACCGATGAAAGAGTTGTGGCAGGGCGGGGCACCGTGATGGTCACTGCAATCACACAACGCACAAAAGGGTCAAACCTGGGCTGGTCCCCAACCACAGCTCCGCACAATCCAAAAGGGACAAATTTGGCCTGACCCCTACCCGCAGTCAAAGGAAGAGATCATTATCTAGACGTAAGCCCAAAACTGGTCCGGTTGGCAGCTCCATGAGCTTGCTGGCCCCCTTCCACGTCAACACCGACCGTAGGATGTTCGTTGACGTCGTGATTAATGAGCAGTCTGTCCGATTGCAGTTGGACACTGCTGCGGACATCATGATTATCTCCGAGAAATCCTGGCGATCCCTTGGCAAACCCCCACCCGACTCCATCTTTCAATCCTCGCGCTTGTGATGGCTGCGTGCAACTAACTGGGCAGTTGCAGTGTTCCGTCTCCTTCCGAGGTGTCACATTCGACAGGATCTGCTACGTCATAAAGGCGAAACTCAACCTCCTTGGTCTCGATTGACTCGAGCAGCTTGGCCCGGCGATCTACATTTTCGGACAATCTGCAGTGTCGTACAGTCTCCAGCAGTACCAAATGATCAACCCGACAACTTCATCAGACATTTCGCGTGAATTCTGCGTTCGATTAGGAACCCGTCAACGTGCGTGTAGAACCGTATCGCAAATTCGAATTCTATCGACTATCTTATAAGGGAGGGGCACCATTCTGTCTCAAGTCCGTTCATTGAACTAGAAGTCGTACCAGTAGTTATCTAGACGGCGCACCTAAGAAACAGTTATAACAGAGTTTCACACGGGTCAGTTCTGGAGTCGCGTCCGTTTCTCGTGTTCATTACCGAGCTGACGAGCCTAGTCGCCTTGGATTTCTC